CTTGTTTCCTGTAGATTCTGCTCAATGAAAGGTTTTCATACACAAATTACCTGATTTTTATTTGGGGGTTTGTTTTTGTCTTGTTTGTTTAGGTACATAAGGTTGCTGGAAACGAGAAAGCATGTGAAGTGAGGTGAAGCTACCCTTAAGCTAAATTAATATTCAGTGGAATTCAGGGCTCAGAGGCACTTTCCAAAGTCCCTGACTTGGAAGCTGAAGGCAGACCCAGTGATCTAGAGGCAGGCCATCCCAGCCTACGTCTGGTTCCGTGCCTTGCAGCACTCTGGTAACCTCGCCTTCTTGTGCTCTCTCCACATTGGCTTAAGGTTCTGACTCTGGTTGGTGTGCTTGGGAGATGTACACTTCCTCCCAAGGACAAAGGACTAGGTGTCCTGGCTTCTAATTGTTTACTGATTCTTCAGCCTTACAAAGTAGGCTGAGGAATATATTCCAAACCTCTGATTTCCAACATCCAACTCTTGAGACAAGCCTCTTCCTTCCGTTGAGTCCCTTGATTTCCTTTTATTAAAAATATTTATATGCTTGTATGCATAACCAATGGACATAGACAACAAAGCTGGGACAGGGTGGAGGGGAGATGGGGAAGACAGTGTCAAAGGGAGAAAAGGAGAAACATCTGTAACAAAAATTAATAAAAAAAATATTTTTTTTATTGATTTTTTTTGGGAGAGAGGAATGGAGAAGGAAAAACATCTATGAGAAACATTGATTGATTGCCTCCTGGACGCCCCTTACCGGGGATTGAGCCCAAAATCCAGGTATGTGCCCTGACCAGGAATCAAACCAGCAACTTTTGGGGGATGATGCCCAACCAACTGAGCCACACCAGCCAGAGCAAATCCCTTGATTTCTTAGGCCATTCTCTCCAGGGGTTCAGAGCAGCTTTAATCCCAGCATCAAGGGTCAGCTGATATGGACAACTAGTTCCCTTTCATAATTCCTCCAGCTTCGGGACTCTATGTACACAGTGCTGGTGACCTATGATTACAGGATGTCTGAGCTCAGTGTGATCCTCTGTAGCATTCTCCCAAACTCTCTATAAAGGGTAACCCTATATTTTCATATCCTTTTCCCCCAAATTTTGACTATTTAGAACATATTGTATAGGTTAAATGCTAGATTTTAGCACTGGTCTCTGTGTTTAAATACTTTTCCCACTTATTAGCTGGGTGTCTTTTTTTTTTTTTTATCCTCACCCGAGGACACTTTTTGCATTTATCTTCAGATAGAGCAGGAAGGAGAGAGGGAGGAAGAGAGAGAGAGAGAGAAACATCAATGTGAGAGAGACACATTAACTTATTGCCACCCACAGGACCCCAACCGGGGCCAGGGACAAACCGCAACCAAGGTACGTACCCTTAGCGGGAACCAAACCCGGGACTCTCTGATCCGGGGGCCGATGCTCTAACCTTTGTGCCAAACTGGCCATGGCTAGCTGGGTGTCTTAATCTAAATTTCTTTGTTCACATACAAAAGGAAATAACAAAAATGCTTGTCTATAGGGATTTTGTAAGTTTAATACATGTAATGCATGTAGTACACCACCTGGTACCCATTATATACTATGGAAGAATTAGCTCTCTTATTCACGTGGCACTAGAATCTATGGATGTGGTTAAACGAGCATTTCCTCTCAAGGGCTTTGCATCAATCTGGTGGTGAGTTAGGGACATACTTATATAAAGAGACCTGGTCTACAAACTCACTTTGAACTCCTGGATGTTCATCTCTTTCTTTCCCCTCTCCCCTTTACCCTGGGGCAGGAATGGAAGCTCATGCAGCAATGGCACTTTCTGAAGGATAGGAAAGGCCAGTGTGTCCAGGGTGCAGTCCAAGTGACATCAGTCCATGCTTGCCCTTCAGAGTCTATCCGTGCATGTTCCCATGAGGTACGGCTTTCCCGAAGCTCACACATCTCAGCTCCACTATTTTGATGCTTACTCTGCCTATATGCTGCCATGAAAGAGGTATTAAACATTCTGGTTCCCACTTACAGAAGACTTCTAGGTTCAGAGCAGACACAGGGCTGTATACATGGCATTTCTGTGCATGTGTTGAGTAATTAGATGCTGTTTTCAAAATTCATTTAAAGTGAAGTCCAACAAAAACGCTTAATGAACAGATTTATCTCTGAAACTGCCAGAGAAGGTGGGACTTCTGTTTGAGGAGGAATGAGGTGCATGTGGGTGGCTTGTTCACAGGGGGAAAAGGAAGCTACGGAGAAGAAATCACACCTCAGTGATGCCAAGAAGATCGGCTAAGAAGAGAATGGGAGAGGAGTGAGAGGCTGGTCCTGGGAGAGAAGTAGGGAGAGAAGGGGGTGTTACAGCAGAAAGATAAGTGATGAAAGGCTGTGGCCGTTAAATATAACCCGGCTCTGCTGTTCTGTGGGGAGGGAAAGAGGAAGGAGGTCAGGTCTTTGGGAGGAGGCTGTCCTACCCTGCCGTGGTGCCTACGGTGTGCTTATTATAATGCTACCTCCCGATGTACTGAATGTAGACTTTATCTCCTGATTAAGTGAGGATTGATTATTGAATTAACTCACATAAAACTATTTCATCAAGTTTAACTATATCTCTTGACTTTCCTTTCTGTAACAGGAGGTTTTTTGTGTGTCTCTACCCTTTCCTTAACCTCTTTCCCTCTTCTCTTTTCCAACTCAAATATTTTCAGAGTTGTAAACCTTTATGTTCCATTCTTTAACCATAATTAATTACTGATCCAAAAAGCTGAAAAAAAAAAAATGAATGGCATTTATAGTATCTAAAGATGATTTAATCTATAGCCAGTGAGTAATCTAATTACGTTTCTTTTACCAGGTGGGTTCATTTGACCTCCAAGAGCAGACACCACAACAGTGTTTAAGATCAAACATCTTATTAGGGCAACACCTGTGAGAGAAAAACGGATGGGGACAAGGAGAGGCTGGGGGAGCCATCAAATGTGATGCGGGTCTGACTCCAGTGCAGAAGAGAGAAGGAAGAGAAGTTGGGTGGAAGCATCTGAGACCACGGTACAGTTTTGAGGAGAATACGGCAAGGCTGGTGGGGAGTCCTTGAGTCCAAGCCACCGGTCAGAGGAGTTCTGCCTCTCCTGGGTCAGGGCCTGAATTCGTATCCCAAGCTGGGAAGCATGGCCTCAGGGCAAATGCAGTGACGGATGTCAGTGTACAGCAGATGAGACCCTCAGTCATTTATACTCCCTGTTGCTGGAGATCTGAGATGCTTCTTGTGGCTACCATATTAGGGTTACAATGTTATTACCCATGAACTACTCAAAGGAGACTATTCTAATTATCCAGGCCAGTGGAGTCTCATTTCTTATAATCCACCAATTATAAAAAGAACATGCCACATTTTAATTTATAATTTTCATGTTCTTTAATCTCAGCAATAAGCACATTCTATAAAAGAACCATTCTTGGGCCTGCTTGTGTTATAATGACATCACAGCCAGATAAACTATCAATTAAGGTTTTTTTTTATCCTCACCCGAGGACATTTTTCCATTTTTTGTTCAGATAAAGTGGGAGGGAAAGAGAGGAAGAGAGAGAGAGAGAAACATCGACGTGAAAGGGACACATCGAGTGGCTGCCTCCTGCACGACCCAACCAGGGCCGGGGACAAACTGCAACCGAGGTACATGCCCTTAGCAGGAACCGAACCCGGGTCTCTCTGTACCGTAGGCGACGCTCTAACCGCTGAGCCAAACCGGCCAGGGCTCAATTAAGGTTTAAATGGTATAACATATTATTGGTTATAGGTAGAAACTGTCAAATAGGGAAGACGGATGCTGAACTGGGAGCAAGAAGAAATTAGGTAGTTGTGAATTTTTAAGTCATATCACCAATCTGGGTCCCAACTTTCTTATTAATAAAGTAGGCTGGAGCAGGCGCTTTCTCAGGTCTTCCTGGTCTGAAGTTCTGTGCGTCTATGTGATTTTTCTTGAACTGATATACTTTGCGTGGACTCAGTCTAGAAAAGAACAGTGACTGCTTGTGTTGTCCTTGAAACTGGCAGATGGCACAGGATCAGCTGCTAAGACGAGTGCTGCACCCAGAGGGACAGGAAGCGTGTTGAGAGCTCCCTGACTCGGAGGCCAGTTGTCCTGCCAGCTGATTCATGTGCTGAAAGGGTTGTTCTCAGCGTTTGTGAGGCTGGTGGCATCGCCTTGCTGTTCAATAAAATAGTTTCCAAGATCACTTTGGAGATTTGGGAAAGAGGCATTTCTCTCTTCCACAAGGGTCAAATTACCCCCAAGGGCAATTATAAGCACTTTCCTGGGCATATTTTTGGTTTGTCTAAAAAAGATTAGATCTTTGAAGTTCCTAAAGACAGACCAACATGTATAAACTTCAGGCCATAAGTGTTTAGTTAAATGGAAGGAATACATTTCTAAGAGTAAGGACTATCTGAAGATGAAATGGTCATTTAGGAAGATAATTCAAGCCATCAAAACTTGAAGTTTTGGTGGTTAATTGATAAAGGTGAACTCTGAGGTCTTTTTTAAACTCAAGAGTCTATGAAATAATCTCTAAATAATTATAAATTTTAGGCAGATAATTATTGACAAAATTTAAAGTTATTATAAACATATTAATTTTAGTTCAGTATTTATAGTTTTATTTTTCATATACCGATTTTATACTTTCTTAGTATGTTATGACTTCTTATATATTTCAATATTTTAATATCTAGTGAATTTTACAGTCATCTCATAACCTTAAATCTAGTATTTCAATATAGAGGCTTATAGTTATATCTTTGTCTTGATACCATAACTGTATTTATTGCATATGAAGTGCCTACTTGGGAACATCACCTTGATTATAGCATTATTCCCAATGAGAGAAAATGACTTTTGCAAAATAAAATATTCTAGTATTGAATTTCTAAAATACTTGAATAAAGATCATTCCCTTTCCTATTCTTCCTTCTTGAATAAACAAATAAAATAAGCAAAATAAACAAAACAGGAGGGACGTAAGTAAAACGAACAAAGAATTTAATTCACGAGATACATTGCAGTATACATGTATGTTTGAGTGCACACAGAAAAAATATCTGGAAGGATACATATCAAATTCTTAACAGTTTACCTTGGGGACGTAGGACTGGGGTAGAAGGAAGGGAGTGCTCTTATTTTTAAATTCATATACTTCTGCAGTGTTTGAAATTTTACAATGATAACTCACTACTTTTATAATAATCAAAACCATAATAGAAATTAAAAAAATAAAAATAGCAACAAAAAGTAAAACACACACATACACATTAGTTTTAAGAGCTACATTGGAGGTATAGAGAATTAAAATCACATGACACACTTTTCTACTAATACTGGTGGTAAATATAAACAAAGAAACAACATTAGAGAAGCCCCTTTTAGCAACATCCCAAATTAAAAAGTCTCACGATAACAGCCCTTAAACAGTGACCCCAGGTGAATCTTAAAAGCGAAAGCTGGGCTTACCTATTCCTGGAGGATCTATAGGAAAGCGTGTCAATCTGAGAACTTCAGACAAAAGAAATAGCTTCACAGAAGTAACCTGGAATTCTAAAACAGTTAACCAAAGGCCAGAAATTGGGGGGTATAAGAACTCTACCCAGCCCAGACCCAAAACTAAATCACTGAAATTTTGGAAATCTAGGGATATAGGTTAGAAACTTCTATTTTATGCATTTGCTTATCATTTTTTCCAATTGCTCAAGTGGTCTGCTTTCTATCTCAATGATTGTAACCTAAAAATACTGCAATTCTAATTGAAAAAAATAAAATTAATTCCATCTAGATTCAGTTTAGGTTTATTCTTCTAGTTAAAGAACCAGAGAAACTTGAGACTAATGATTTTCCATGATTCATATTTTTTCTCATAACTGTTTCTAGCTACTTAATGAACATTTTGGGAGCTAATACTTCTGATTTCTCATAGGTCCCTAAAGTTCTGTATTTGAGGAAATCTTTTTTTCTCATGTTCTTTTTTCTTTTATTGAAGTCATCTGAGATGACAAACTTTTATTATGAACTTTTTCTTCCAACAAAGAGGATTCTTCAGGTTGATGGTTAAATATCTTCATTGAAGTCAGGACATCTGTAACTGGAAGGTTCCCCCTTTTGTAAGCGACATAATTCAGAACTTAACGAGTAGAATTCTGCGCTCCAGAAACAGTGTTCCTGACCTAGGTGGCAATGATTCATGTAGGGTTATACTCGCTGCATAAGTGAGTAATATGGGAAATCTGACAAAACTGAATCAGAATGTTATAAATAGCAGAGATAAAGGGTATAAAGTCATAATGGCCATGCCATTTCAAAGTTACCATTTAATGTTGCTGTTTCTTCATGAATGATAGTATTTTCATTTTTTAAAAAAGTAGAAAACAGCAAATAATTCATCATAATGTATATAAAGTAGTTAACATGATGCCTGGTACACAATAACCATTCAATGAAAATGGACTATGTAATGAATGGATTAAAACAATAAACAAAAATATAAGAAACCAAAATAGAAGAGCTTTAAAATTGACTTCCTGGAGTATGCAGTTAAATGGAAAGTCCAAGCTCACAGAGAGCACTGAGGAACTCTGCATTTTCGGGATCTATCTTTTGGGCCCGCTCGTAGTACTCAGCAGCTTGCCTCTTTTCGCCCTCCAGCTTGTAAACAAACCCTAGCGCACTTAAACTCTGCACATCTGAAGCATTGTGACCAAGTCTCTTGGTAGCCAATTTCTTCAGAGCGCTTGTCAGTTTGGTACGGAGGGAAGACCTGTCTTTGACTTTTAAGGCTTCCAAGTAATGGTGGATGGCAGTGTTTTCTGATTTACGGTGGAATTCCTGAAAGCGGCCGTAGTGGTAGTGGATCTGATGCTTGTGATCGTCAGTTATGTTCTCCAGACGCAGGGCTTTCTGGAAAATGTCTTCAGCATTGCTGTACTGGCCCCCCTCAGCATACATGTTGGCCAGGTCTGTGTAGGCAAATGCGAACATAGAGTCTCGCTCCACCGCGGCCTTGAAATGAAATATAGCGGATGTAATCAGCCCATCGACTTTCAGCTTATCTTTGCCTTTAGGTCTGTTGCGCGTGGCCTTCTTGATTTGGATCATCTGTGCCCTATAGCAAAGTCCCATCTGGTGATGCAGGAAAGAAGAGGTCGGTGTTACCTCCAAGGCCTTCTTCAGAAGTTCAAGAGCTTTGTCCCAGGAATTTTTTCTCCTGTAGAATTTGGCTGCGTAACGAAGGACATACGGTTCAGCTGAGATCTGGTCCAGGATCTCCTCAATATACTTTTCCCCTTCAGCTTCTGCGTGCACATCTTGAAGCTTCAGTGCCAGGAAAACCTTGATGTAGGTGTTGTCGGGGTTCAGGGTGACAGCCTTCCGCAGAGGGCCCAGAGAGAAGCTCTTTACAGAGCCTTCTCTGTCCGAATCATCCAGCCGGTACACTGTGATGGCATAGCCGATGTTAAATTCCGGATTGTCCGGTTCCACTTCCAGAGCCTTCTCAAACGCGGCTTTGGCCTTTTGGTAATATTTTCCGCCAAATTTCAGGAGTGCCCACCCTTTCTCACAGTCAATCTCAGGACACTCCATTTTGTAGTTGAAAGGGCTGGACATTTTCTTGCAGACATCCCCCACCTTGGCTGTGTACTCCTGGGCTTCCTTAAGCTGGTCCATGTGATAATACACCCAGGCGTAGTTTCCCCAGGTGACCAGGCTCCGGACTTCCTCTTTGTCTGAGTGTTCCCGCTGGATTATTTCTTCCGCTTGCTCCAAGCACTTGAGGGCATCTTGATTTTGGCCTTTTAGGTGTTTCACATAGGCCAGTAAGTTATAAAGAGTGAGTCTGGACTTGGTGGTAAGAAATTCAAGCTGTTGCCCAATTGTATCTTCCACATCGAACAGATCGATGTCTTCCTTAAGTAAATTCCACGTGAAGTGGCATTCTAACTCCGACAGAATGGCCTTCAAGGAGTCCTTGGGAATCTCACTGTCAAAGATAAAATCCGTTTAAATTTCTAAATAAAGGAAACAATCCATTTTTAAACCTTAAATACTGTTCTTTGCTTAACCACCACTTTCCTCTTTTATTTGATCTTACAGTTCAAGCACAGGCTCCTATAGCTTTATACTAGCTTCCTCTGTGTACAGTGATGTTCTAGAAATAGTTCATTAAATTCTCATTATTTATCACAAAATTCTGGAGATGACAGCGCTTTCTATGTTACAGGCTATCTATTTCCCTTTGGCAGTCATTATCTCACAAGGACCATGTATTTTTAGAGAGGAAAATTTAAATGTTTTATTTCCTAGCCTTGAAAATTGAGAATAATAAACATATACACAGCCAATAATTAGTATAAAATTTTCATGTCTGTATTCTTAGTTAGAAATAAGGAGTACATCGAAGGAGACAGAAACCACAAGAATATATCATTTTTTCAGAGAAAGGAAGGAAGGAGGGAAGGAGGGCAGGGACGGGGGAGGAAGCCAAGCCTGCAGAGAGAGAAGTCACAGAAACAGACAGGAAAAGGCATACCAAGAGATGGGGAAATGCACAAGTTTGAGAGAGATTAAAAAGAGAGTGGCAGATTTAGAGAAAGATGGGGAAAGGCGGTAAAAAACTTAGTAGGTGTTCATGTAAGTGCCATACTCTCTGACCTCTGGGGTTTAGGCAACAACAAAGACTGACACCTGTTAGTAACTTATCAATGCCCTTAATATTCAAATATCTGTTGAACTCTCCCAAGACATGGAGTAGTCTCCACAGGACCCACTGGAAACACTGTCTTTGAGCTAGGAAGACGAAGAAGAAGGGATAGGAAGTATTTATTACTGAGAGCCTTTTCCGTGCAAGGTCTTCGGAAGAACCCTGAGGCTGTAACTGTGAACAAGACTTGTAAGTAAACAGTCAATTACAACTCAGCATGCCAATAAAGTTCCATGGAAGTGATCCAGAAAGGGTACACAGGCTAGTGTGTAGGTATCTGTGGTTTTTACTTGGTGAGGATCCCTTCTTTTGGCCTTCCTTTGTGAAACAACCTCTCACCCTAATCTCAGTCCATGTGATTTGAGATGGGTGGCCACCCTTCACTCCAGTCTGTGGGAAGGCATGAGATATTCCAGCCATTTCTTGGTCCCAGTGATTTATTTGGAGCATGTCCAATTAAAATATATTTTTGCTGAAATGGGATTTTGCTGAAACTATCTCCCTTCCTTCTAAAAATTTTAAACTGGTAGAATACAAGTTTGGAGAGCCCTCTTGCCTTGGGAAGAACCTGCCTGAGAAAGAATGTAACAGAGGAAAGCAGAGCTTTGATAGAAAGAAAGATAGTTGGCTCATGTTACTGACTAAATACTTGGATTCAGTTTTGCCTGGATCACCTTGTTGACCCATGGACTTATATTTACTTAAGCAAATAATCTCGCTTTCTCTTCTTGCTTAAGCAATTCAAACTGGCTTAAGCCAGTTTGAATTGGGTTTCTTCTGTCTACAACTGACAAAGTCCTGATTAATATACCTAGCTTTGTTTGTTTGGTTGGTTGATGGTGAGGCAGTCAGGAAAGTCTTTCTAAATATACTATTGGCTATAATTAAAGGTCACAAGAAAGATGTATAAAAAATTACTTAGGGTTTCTCTCAAAGAGGGAGATGCTCTAATTATGAGATGAATAGTGCATAGTGTGTATTTCCTTTTCTACTGCACACAGGACCCCTCTCCTTTGAATGTAAAATGTAAATACGTATTTGTATAAATGTTTATGGGAACTATAGTAAGATTTCCATCACTGAACAGTTATTGATCATGTCATAATCATACATGGCAGTATTCTAGTTGTAGTGGATATAATAGAGCACAAGATAGAAAAAGGTCCTTTCTTCATGGTAACTCCACTCTGGAAGAGGAACAAAATATGTTGACAGAAAATAAACATATATACAAATCAGTGGACAACATAATTCTGGACAATAATAAGTGATAAGAAGAAGAAAATCAGAGTGATGGGATTAAGTGCTAGTGGTGGTAGGGGTCCCTCAGTTATGATTGTTAAGGAATAGCCCTTATAAAAGCGGCAATTGAATTCAGTTCTCAACAATGAAAAGGAGGCAGTCACAAAAGATCCGAGGGTAGAATGGTCTAAGCCAGTGCTTCCCAACCAGGGTGATTTTGCCTCCCAGGGGACCTTTGGTCATGTGTGGAGACAATTTTGACTGTCATTATGGAAGGAATGGCTACTGGCATCTACAAGATCAAGGCCAGGGATACTGCTATATACCCTACAATGCACAGGTCAGCCCCAACAAGCAAGAATGATCCAGTCCAAAATGTCAGTAATGCTGAGGTGAGAAACCCTGGTTTAGGCTGAGGTGCCGGCGAGTGCAAAGGCCCTGATGTGGGAACAAATTTGGGAGTGTTCAAGGGACAGAAGGAAGTGTGGCTGAAGCATAAACGAAAAGGAAGAGTAGCAGGATATGAGGAGTCAGTAGTAGGCAGGGACAGATAATTTAAATTTTCCTCTAATTGCAATGGAAAACCATTGGAAAAAATTTTTAAGTAGGGAAAGGAAAATGTTTGAGAAAGACAAGTATCACGTGATCTCACTTATATGTGGAATCTAATGAACAAAATAAACTGATAAATAAAATAGAAACAGAGGCATGGAAACATGGAACAAACTGGCTAACCTCAGAGGAAAGGGGGGAGAAAGATGGGAAGAGCTTAACCAAAGAATGTACATGCATACATCCATTACCCATGGATACATACCATAGGGTGGTGAAGACCTGGGGCAGAACAATGGGGAAAAGAAAAGGGGGAACATCTCTAATGCTCTCAACAATAAAGATTTACAAATAAATAAGTAAATAAAATAAAATAAAAATTGTTCTGGCCCGGCTGGTGTGGCTCAGTTGACTGAGAGGTCCGGTTTGATTCCCAGTCAGGGCACATGCCTGAGTTGTGGGCTCGATCCCCAATAGGCGTGCAGGAGGCAGCCGATCAATGTTTCTCTCTCACACTGATGTTTCTCTCTCTGTCTCCCTTCCTCCCTCTCTAAAAAACAAACAATAAAAACATATTTTTAAAAAATTGTTCTGGATGCTCTGTGGAGAATGGACAATAAACGGTCAAGAGGGGAAGTCGGGAAATTAGTGGGAAAACTATTTATTCCACAACTATTTATTGAGAGCCTACTATATGCCCAACACTGTTCTAAGTGTTGGGGATACAGCAGTGAACAAAACAGGAAAAAAAAATCCTGACTTTATGTAGCTTACATTCTAATGGGGTGGGGTGTGGCACAAAAAGACTGAAAAATAAATGAAAATATAGAGTATGTGAGATAATAAGTGCTAAGGAGGAAAAATAAAAGCAGGAGAGAAAAGCAGGTGGCTGGCAGGAAATGGGTAGCATGGCCAGAGCAAACCTCCCTGAAAGGGACACGAAGGCAGCTACTGAGGAATCCAAGGAGAGAGGAGGTGGCTTACATTCGGGTGGCAGTGGGTTAGGAGGACTGGATGGTTTATTTGGAGGCAGAACTGACAGGTCTGTTCCATCACAGTTTCCTGTTCTTCATAGCTCTTATATCAATATTTGCTGGGGGTTGGAAGGGAGGAGAGAGTGCTTTGAATCAAATGTGAGATTAAAGTGAGTTGGACTGAGCCTTTAGGAATTGAAAAGGGGCCCTTTTAGTAGCAACAAGTGACAGAAAATTTGCAGAACTGGATTAATTACACAACTAGTAGTAGTGATTAAAAAAGATAAAACCATTTCATATTTATAATCTAATATACTACTCCATGAAATGTTTTCCAGTGTTTATAAATACTGAATGTAAATATTAATACTTGACTTAATATTATATTTAGTAGACATTTAAATGAACTTATTGTAAACTTCAATTTTTATAATTTTTTCATATTTATTCTTTCTCTGTTTGTGAATATAAATACATACCTCCGGTATGCATGGGTCCAACACTTTAGTGACTATAGGTTCTAGACTAGAGCTTTCCAATAGAGCCCCCTGCCATGATGGAAATGTCTCATCTGTATTCTACAATATGGTACACACACGCCACACATGGCCACTGATCATTTGAAATGTACCTAGTACAACGAAGAAGCTGAATTTTCAGTTTTATTTACTTTAATTAACTTAAATAGTCACATAGGACTGGTGGCTACTGTATGGAACAGCTAGAGACATTGGGATTTAGGGCTTAATAGACAAAAAGGCCTCAAGCCCGACAGGTTAGAGCTCTCATTTAACTTGAAATTTCTGTTATTTTATTCAAGGTGGAGAGCTAAATTAAATGGCAAACAAGGATATATCTGAAAAACAACTTTATGCTTATCACCTGGGTTCACTGTATATTCAACTCAATGGTGTAAATATAAACTATTTATAATATACTGTCTAGAATCATGTGAGTACTCAAAAAACGACTAAAGCTACCATTCACTGATGGTCTACTACATGCCAGGCAGTGTGCTAGCCACTTTATATAAATTACATTGATTTTTAGAAAAATCTCTTATTATTTTCACGATTTTATGATGAGGACTGGCAGGAAGTTTAAATTACATGTCTAAGGTTACACAGCTATAAAGAGGCTGAGACAAGATCCAACCCCAGTTCTGCCTGATGCAAAAGCTGTGCCTTTCAACCATAATACTATATACTATCTCTACTAACACACTGGAGGGTTTTTGTTTTTAGTTTTTTTTAGAATAGTTTGCTTTAAAACATAGGATACAGCTAATGTATATAAAACTCACTTCACTTCAGGAGGACCTAAAGAGAAAACAGGAAGGGATTTTAGAGCAGGTAAGAGGTTGGTGTGACTGACCATTGGAAAAGACATTCCAGATATTTAAAGGTCTCGGGTTAAGAAAACAGTAATTTCATATATGAAAACATTCCACTTCGCTGGAATTGTCTTGAGATGGACCTATTTCTCACCAGGACGTGCTTCACACAGTACACA